TATACCCTCTGTAGCCATATGAATATTTTATTCGATTTGTTCCAAATTTTGTTAAATTTAGATCACTTTTAAAGCTAGGCACACTTGTTGGATATCTTCCCGAAAAATATTCAAATTTTGGAACAAAAAATCATTAATCTCTTAGAAAGCAGAAAGCGAGACACAAATGTGGTTAAACGGTTTTGTTGTTTAACCATGTTTTGATTTTGAAATGACATCTGTAAGAAAGTGGCGCCCAACATAAAATTTTCAAAATCATAACAGTGTATAAACCCATAGTACTTTCTATATAATTTCTATATTTTCTATTAACATTTCACCCCTGCTATAGGGTTTATATGCCCTTGCAGCGATTCAAAAATTTATCAGCTCATATTTACTTGTTATTGAATATCTTAATGCCTTCTCTTAAGGAGCATTAACATGCTTGCGCCTCTTGACAATGCGATGGATGAATGAATAAATGAGTGATTATATGTCATTATACAGGTGTACTCATGTGTGTGCGTGTGTGGTGAGAGTGTAAAGGGTGTGTGTGTGTGTAACTACGACCTTCATGCCATTCGATGAAGAATTCGTTTTTTTTTTTCATCTTCTTCTTCTTCTCATTTGCAGTGATGAGAAGAATGATATGTATCCTTCATAAATACTTGACATTTGATATGGCCACAATCAACTAAACAAAACAACAACAACAGCAGCAGCAGCAATAACAACAACAACAGCAAAATAAATCATGTGGAAATGTGTAAATGAGGCTATACATGAAGTCAATATTCCACATCGCCACACAATTGGAAAATAAATTTAAGATTGGTAAAGGTTTTTCTAAATGAATGGAAATGAAAAACGAAGGGCAGAAAGTGGGGGAAATGAAATTGGAGGAGATGGAAGAAACACCCATTTGACTTCAATGGCGCCCAATAATGCTAGAACCCAAGTCATTTAAGGATACGTGCAGAAGATCCATTGGAGACTTTGTAGGACTTATATAAAGTCAAAGCTGTTGACTACCTGATGTAACCACAAGTAACGAAATTGATCAGGGAACGCTGCAGTTATTGATTTCATCACAACTCCTGAGGATCTTAAGCAATTTTTCCGCAGGAAGGAACCCAACTTAAAAATTGAAGATTGGAAAAGTTTTTCAAAATGAATCTAAATTGAAGAATGAAGGTATAGCGACAGAATGGGGGGAAATGGAATAAGGGGATTGAAGAAACACGCATTTGATGTGATGGCGCCCAATAATTCTTTAACACAAGACTCATAGAATTTTAAGGATACTTGCAGGGCAGAAGGCCCATTGGAGACGGTATAAGTCATATGCAAATTCAAAGCTGCTGACTACCTGATGTAACCACAAGCGACGAAATTGATCGGGGAACGCTACAGTTAAGGGATCTTATCTACACTCCTGAGAATCTTAAGCATTTTTTTCCGAAGGAAGAAGCCAATCTAAAAATCGGTTACAACCGGTGCTAGTCAAAAAAGTCTAAGCCGAATTCGATAGCTAATCTAATATTGAGCATCTCTGGTCAGGTTGAAAATATGATAATGAGAGATTTGAAGCAATTTTACCGAAAGAAGGAACCCAAGCCAAAAATCGGGTATAACTGGATCTAGTCGAAAAGGTCTAAGGCGAATTCAATAGTTAATCTTATATTGAGCATCTCTGGCCAGGATGAAAACATCACATAACTGGTCTACTTTCACAGTCTGTCTCTCCGTAAGGATGTCTGGCTTCTTAACGGTCTAATTAACCTATGTAGTCATGGGAGTAAATTACAAGGGGAGGAACCCAATCTTAAAATCGGTATAACTAGTGCTAGTCGAATAGCTAATCTTATATATTTGGCATCTCTGGCCAGGATGAAAACATGATAATTAGAGATTTGAAGCAATTTTTCGGAGGAAAGGGACCCAACCTAAAAATCGGAATAACTAGTGCTAGTTGAAAAGGTCTAAGGAGAATTCAATAGCTAATCTAAAATTGAGCATCTCTGGCCAGGTTGAAAACATGATAATGAGAGATTTGAAGCAATTTTTCCGAAAGAAGGAACCCAAGCTAAAAATCGGGTATAACTGGATCTAGTCGAAAATGTCTAAGTCGAATTCAATAGCTAATCTTATATTGAGCATCTCTGGCCAGGATGAACACATCACATAACTGGTCTACCTTCACAGTCTATCTCTCCGTAGGGATATTTGGCCTCTTAACGACCTAGTTAACCTATGATGGGAGTAAATTATAGGACGGGTGCCAACGATAGTCCTACATTTAATATCCTTTGTCCGTAAAATTTAATAATTTGCCTTCGGGTTACCCTAATCAAATGCATATATTTCCATTAGAATACATGTTATGGATATATTAACACACACACATAGATATAACAGATACACACACACACCACAAAACAAACGGCAAAGATAATGAATATGGATCGAGGGTATATCCAAAAGTGGCCTTGCTCTAGTGTCCAAGCAACCTTCAAATATCAAACATAAATTAAAAATAACAAAAACAAAAACACTAGCACAGTAATAGCAATAGATGCTTACATATGTAATGCACAAATGTGAATATATACATGCATACATACACACGTACAGGTACTACCTTCATACCGAACATTTTATAGAAAAATAAGACATGGAATATTAAAGAACATATCATTTCAAAATAAAATGTCAGCTCGTATATGAAGAGACGACTTACAGCAGCTCGTCTATGAAGAAATGACTTTCACCAGCTCGTTTATGAAGATATAACTTTCATCAGCTCGTTTATGAAGAGATGACCTCTCCATCTCATCTATGAAGAGACGACTCTCTCCAGCTTGTCTATATAAGGACACCCTCTAGCCCGTCTCTCCCTCACCATATCGTCTATACGAAGTCTCCCCCTCCAGCTCGTCTAGTTGACTTCTTCTACAGCTTTTTTATATACAGACTCATTCTCCAGCTCGTGTTTAAAGACATCTTTAGCTCCGCTATAAAGATTTCTTTAGCTCGGCAATAAAGTCTCCCTCTCCAGCTCGTCTTTATAAAGTCTCCCTCTCCAGCTCGTCTAGTTGACTTCTTCTACACATTTTTGATATACAGACTCATTCTCCAGATCACGTTTAAAGACATCTTACATCCGCTGTAAAGATTTCTTTAACTCGGCTATAAAGTCTCCCTTCCAGCTCGTTTTTATAAAGACTCCTTTTCCAGTTCGTCTACATAAGGTCTCCCTCTGCAGCTCGTTTATATAAAGACTACCTCTCTCTCTTCAGCTTGTCTATATAAAGACTCCCTCTCCAGCCTTTCTCTCCCTCTCCATATCGTCTACATAAGGACTCCCTCTCCAGCCCGTCTCCCTCTCCATATCGTCTACATAAAGACTCCCTCTCCAGCTCGTATATAGAGTTTCCCTCCCAGCTCGTTTATATAAAGACTACTTCTCTATACAAAGTCTCCCTCTCAAGCTCGTTTATATAAAGACTACCTATCTCTCTCTCTCTTCAGCTTGTCTACATGAAGACTCCCTCTCCACCTCGTTTATATAAAGTCTCCCTCCCAGCTCGTTTATATAAAGACTCCATCTCTATCTAAAGTCTCCCTCTCCAGCTCGTTTATATAAAGACTCCTTCTCCAGCCCGTCTCTCCCTCTCCATATCTTCTACATAAAGACTCCCGCTTCAGCTCGTCTAAAAAGACTCCCGCCTCAGCTCGTCTATAAAGATTCACGCTTCAGCTCGTCTATAGAGACTCCCGCTTCAGCTCGTCTCCCGGTTGTCTTTAAAAACTGCGTTCAGCTCTCCACACCTCTATCTCTAATAGACCTTAAACAAATATTATTGAAAAACAAATAAAAAAGGTGTAAGTTCGGCCGGGCCGGACTTTGAATACCCTCCACGATTTGAAACGAATTTGGTAATTTTTCAAAAATTAAAATCCGTTAAAAATTCTGTTAAAATCTTCAAAATACCAAATGAAGCCGTTATATTAGGGTCTATACGACGACGTGGATCTGCATAGGCAACTTTGGCATAAGCCATTACAATATTCAAATGGGAAACTTGAAAAAAAAAATCGGTGAATAATGTAGCTTAAATCATTAAAATACTGAATATAGGGAGGTACCATAATATGGACCTGCACAGACAATTTTCTGTCTTAGGCTGTAGTATCCATTACGAACTTCAAATACCAAATTTGAAACATTTCCGGTGAATAATGTCGCTCAAATCATTAAAATACCGAAAATAGGGAGGTACCGTTATATGGAGGCTATACGAAGACGTGAATTTGCACAGACAATTTTCTGTCTTAGGCTATAGCATCCATTTCGAATTTCAAATACCAAATTGGAACCAATTCCGATGAATATTGTCGCAAAAATCATCAAAATACTGAAAATAGGCAGGTACCATTATATGGGGGCTATACCAAAACGTGAACCTACATGGCCCATTCTCAATACCAAAAGTCCTGCAGACATAATTTACATTTGAGTAAAATTTTATCCACCCACTTCATTTCGTTCGGAAGCTAAAGTAATTTCCACAGACGGACAGACGGACGGACATCGCTAAATCGACATGGAATTTAATGCTGACCAAAAATATATATATACTTTGTGGGGTCTGAAATGTATATTTCCAGGTGTTACAAAAGGATTGACAAACTTAATATACCCTTCATACATGGTGGAGGGTATAAAAATGTATGTGGAGAGGCAACATCAAGGATGGATCTGCATTCATGAGATCCAATGGCGTATGATTTATTTTTTTTTGGTGAATATGCGAAAGAAATCCCTCATACGCTTAAGTGTACATGCCCGATAGATGAAGATCCTGTGTTTAATAGATTCAATTTCAATTTCAGGGTAATAGTTTTACCCTGAAAGAATTTCACCTCAACAAAGGACATCAATGGTCAATTTTTAGGAAAACCAAAAACAAAACATTTTTCAAAAGTCCCAACCAATTTCTTTAATTACAACTTACCCCGTAAAATGATTGTATTCCTGTCGCGTGTTTTTTTTGTTTTAGTTGTATTATTTTCCTTTGATTCGTTTGTTGTTGTGAAAGGATGTTGGTGGTTTGTTCTTTGATTTGGTTAGTTTGTTGGTTTTGTCTGGTTAGTTGTGCGATTTTTGTATACCCCGATAATGTGTTTGCGGTTTTTCGTGTCGATTTAAATATTTTGTCGACGTTGACGTAGCCGTTTCTCTTAAAGAGTTGGTTGGTTGGGTGGGTTTTTTGTTGTTGCTTTGTTTGGCGGCAGATGGTGGGTGGGCGGTTAAATGGATGCTGGTTTGTTTGGTGGGTGGGTTGGTTGGTTGGTTTAGGTTGGTAGGTGGGTGGGTGGTTGGTTTGGTTGGTTGGTAGGATGCCTGGATATTTATGCACAAATACACACACACACTAACACAAATGTTCCTCTTTGCGAGCCGAGCAAATTGACTTTCAAGACAAGAAACAAACAAAAGAATTGACGTCCTCTACAAACAACAAAGAAGCAGAAGCAGAAGAAGAAGACGATGATGATGATGTGCAAAGTTGTAAAAGTTAAATGTGTGTTCGTGAGCCAACGTCTGCGTGTGTGTGGGTGAGAGTGAGTAAGTCTACGACTGGGTAGATTTCAAACAAAAAAAAATACTCTGAAAACAGCAGACATTTACGTTTGCTTAGAAAAATCAGAAATGTACCAAAATGGAAATAACAATGTAAAATACTGTCAAAAATTTTATTTTTACAGGGTACTTTTTCACAGAAGAAGTTAATTCGGTTTCTAGAGAAAATGTTAATACTGCAATGTTTTTTTTTTTTAATTCAGCGAAATTTTTCTATAGAAAAGGTCAATTCACCTAACTTTTTTCTACAAAAAACTACTTCAGAGAACATTTTCTTTGGAAAAGTCAATACAGGGTATGTATTCTATAGAAAATATCAAATCAGAATACTTTTTCTGTAGAAAACTTTAACTATTTTTTTTTTTTTTTTTTTTTTTTTGTAAAAAAGCTAAGTTTTAGTTTAGAAAAAGTCAATTAAGTAATTTTTTCTATAGTACTTTTGTCCAGAAAAAGTAATTTAAGCTATTTTTTTCTTTAAATAAGTCGATTTTACGACCTAGCGCTTTAGAAGAACTCAATTCTTCTATAGAAAAATTCAACTAAGGTAAACAATCTCTGCAGACAGTTAACAAACTTTTTACTATAGAATTGGGAAATTCTGCAAAGAAAAGCCAATCCAGCTGAACTTTGCTAAAGAAAATCTCATTCCATTTCAAAAAAATATTTAGAACAATTCAAAAAAGCCTGTTCCATAGAAAATGTCGATACAAAAAAGATATCGCTGAATTATTTTTTTTCAGAGAAAGAGTATTCTATTATTTCGGAAAAACCTGTTCCATAATAATTCTAAACCAGAGGACTTTTCTGCAGAAAGGAAAAAACCTGTTTCATAATAATTCTAAACCAGGGGACTTTTCTGCAGAAAACTTTATTTTTTCTAAGTTTTTTTTTCTGTAAAATCGAACTTTTAAATAGAAAAAGACATTAAGGCAGCTTGTTCTATAGAGAACGCCAACTCAACGTACTGTTTCTATAGAAAAAGTGAATTTAACAACCAAATGATATATAAAAAGTCACTTCAGGGAATTTTTTCTACAGAAAAACTCAACTAGGAACATTATTTTCTATAGAAAATGTCTACAAAATGTTCTATAGAAAATGTCGATACAGCATACTTTTTCTCTAGAAAAAATAATTCTGTGAAAAAAGTCAATACAGTGAACCTGTTCCATAGAAAAATCTAAACCAGAGGACTTTTCTGTAGAAAACGTCATTTCAGCTAAGTACTTTTTATACCATCCACCATTGTATGGAGGGTATATTAAGTTTGTCATTCCGTTTGTAACACATCGAAATATGCATTTTAGACCCCGCAAAGTATATATATTCTTGATCAACATAAAATTCTATGTCGATTTAGCGATGTACGTCGGTGGAAATCATTCTAGCTTCCGAAGGAAATGAAGTAGATTGATAAAATTCTACTCAAATGTATATTATGTCTACAGGACTTTTGGTATTGAAAATGGTTCATGGACCTACGTTTGTGGTATGGCCCCCATATGATTTAACAGACGTTGTTCACCGGAATTGTTTCAAATTTGGTATTAGGGGTTTGTAATGGATATTACAGCCTGTGCCAGAAAATTGTCTTTGCAGGTCCAAGACTTCGTATAGCCCTCTTATAACGGCGACTCCTGATATTCGGTATTTTGATGATTTTAGCGATATTATTCACCGGAATTGTTGAAATTCCGTATTTGCACTTCATACTGTGACAGAATTCATTTTGATGATCTGCATAGAATCACATTCTGAGTCGATTTATGCATGTCCGTCCATCCGTCCGTCCGTCTGTCCATGTATTTTTGTAAACAAAGTACAGTTCGCATTTATTACCCGATCCAGATTAAATTTTGCACAAATCATTTGTTTGGCCCAAGGACGAACCCTATTGAAATTGGAGATAATCGGTCAAAATTTAGATATAGCTCCCATATATATCTTCGTCCGATTTGCCTTTTATTGTGCACCAAAAGTGTAATATCAGCCCGAATAGTATGGAATTTTGAACAAACAACCAAATTTGGCCTGAAAATAATTATGCCAAATTTGATCGCATCGGTTCAGATATAGCTATAGCTCCCATATATATTGTTCATCCGACTTGTTATTTTTGTCATCCGCAGCCGTAATATGTATGCCGTAATATCAGCAAATCTTTTCTCTACAAAGTTCAATAAAACAAAAATTTTCAAATACTATAATTTAAAGAACTTTTTTTATAGAAAAATTCAGTTCAGTTCAAGTCAACGAACTTTAACTATAGAAGAAGCTAATTCAAAACACTCTTTCTACGGAAATATTCATGCAAACTTTTTAAAATTGTATTCAAAGTTCTATTCAACAAACTTTTCCTGTGGAAAAAAATTTAAATTCTCTAATTTCATCCAGTATTTTACATTTTTACCATTTAGGATTCTGATGCAAAGCCAAGAAATCTTCATAATTTCGGTTATCCCAGGCTGAAATCCACCAGCACACAAACACATTCACACACTGTCTCACGGATTGACTGACAAACTTTGTAAGAATGAGTATTTATCTTCCATTTGGAAAAAGACAATACTAACCTATTATCAAATATCAAACCATACGAATTAACATTTTGATTTATGTTTCGGCTTTCTTTGTTGCTAACTTTTTGCTTTTTTTTGTTTTTTGTTAATTCAATTTTGGTTTATGTAAAAAAGCAGGGAACGACAATGACGACGACGAGGAGGAGCAGACATCGAAACGACAGACGGCAAAAACTGAGTTATTGTGTCGCAGGCATTTTGTAGATAAAGGCACACATTACAGATTTTTTTTGTCTTGGCTATTTGTTACACCCTAACGGAGGAAGGCGATGTTACGGAGGGAGCTCTTTGTTTGAACAGCTTAAAAAGAGGGATTTTTGATTATTTTTTTCTTACAAGGATTTCAATTGAATTCACTATTTTGATTGCAAATTTTTTTGGGATGAAATTATTTTGTTTAACAAAAAAAATCTTTGCCACTTTCACTGGACACTCGCTAATACAGACACACACAAGTTCACTTGATAACAATGAAAAACTAAATATTTGCACCGTCTTTTTTTTGCTGGTGTGGTTGTTGTTGTTGTTGCTGCTTTTGGTTGGTACTCAATAAACGACGGGACAACTGATAAGAAACGACATGACTCAAAAGGACTACACGGAAGACTAAAAAAGCACAATTGAAAATTTTCTTCATATACAGCCAGCCATACGGATGGCTGGATGTATGGCAGGCAACAGTCGTCGCCCTCACCTCACTGTGGTAGTGAGGTGGTGAGGTGGCGATGGTGGTGGTGGTGCTGACAATGAATATACATAAGTAACTCTTGCTCCTGATGTTATTGTTTGTTTCGTTTGAAGCCAACACTTGGACACACACCAACACCTCTGTCTGAGTCGGCTTCTACTTGGAAATGTTTTGTGGGGAAAAGCTTTTTCTTTATGTTGTGGTGAGCATTTTGCAACAAAGAGCATGGAGCTTTCGATGTAATGTTGCTCAACATTTAGGGTAGTTGGGATAAGGAGACTTTGAATGGTGGAAAAATTACACTGTGGAACATAAATAGCGTTTTCAAATTTATGTTCCTTTTAGAAAATGGTTTAAATTCATCTATATTTTCTGTAAAAGGTCAATTTAGCAAACTTTGTTATAAAAAAAGTCAGTTCCGAGAACTTTTTCTATAGAAAAAGTCAATTCCGTGAACTTTTTCTATAGAAAAAGACAATTTCTTGAAGTTTTTTTTTATAGAAAAGGACAATTCCGTAAATTCTTATTAGAAAAGGTCAAATCCGAGAACTTTTTTTTATAGATAAAGTCAAACCCAAGAAATTTTTCTAAGAAAAAAGTCAGATCGATACACTTTTTACAGAAAAATTTAAATCCATGGACTTTTGGTATAGAAAAGGTCAAATCCGTAAATTTTTCTAAAAAAACGCCAATTCCGTGAAATTTTTTTTAAAGAAAAAGTCAATTGCGTGAACTTTTTCTATAGAAAAAAAATAATTTTGTGAACTTTTTCTATAGGAAAAGTCAATTCCGTGAACTTTCTCCATAAAAACAGCCTATTCGGCGATCATTTTCATTGAAATTTTTCTATAGAAAAAATCAAATCCGTGAAAGTCAATTCCGTCAAAGTCAATTCCGTCAAGTTTTTCTATAGAAAAAAATCAGTTCCGTGAATTTTTTCTATAGAAAAAGTCAGTTCCGTGTATTTTTTCTATAGAAAAAGTCAGTTCCGTGTATTTTTTCTATAGAAAAAGTCAGTTCCGTGAATTTTTTCTATAGAAAAAGACAGTTCCGTGAACTTTTTCTATGGAAAAAGTCAATTCCGTGAACTTTTTCTATAGAAAAAGTCAATTCCGTGAACTTTTTCTATAGAAAAAGTCAATTCCGTGAACTTTTTGCATGGAAAAAGTCAATTTCGTGAACTTTTCAAAGTTTTTCTAGAGAAAAGGCCAATTCCGTAAATTTTTTCTATCGGAAAAGTTAAATCCGTAAACTTTTTCTATAGAAAAAGTCAAATCCGTGAACGTTTTCTATAGAAAAAGTCAATTCCCTGAACATTTTCTATAGAAAAAGTCAATTCTGTGAAGTTTTTCCATAGAAAAGCATTTTCTATAGAAAAAGCCAATTCCGTAATTCTTTCTATAGAATAAATTAATTCCGTAAATTTTTCCTATAGAAAACGTTAATTCCGTAAATTTTTCCTATAGAAAACGTCAATTACGTAAATGTTTCCTATAGAAAAAGTCTATACGTAAACTTTTTCTATAGAAAAGTCAATTCCGTGAACTTTTTCTATAGAAAAAGTTGATTCCGTAAACTTTTTCTATAGAAAATGCCATTTCTGTGAACTTTTTCTATAGAAAAATTAATTTCTGTGAACTGTGAACTTCTCTAGAAAAAACAATTCAGTGAACTTTTTATCTAATCTATGAAGACACGCTCTTCAGTTCATCTCTATAAAGACTCACACTTCAGCTCTTCTTTAAGAGACTTCCTCTGCAGATCGTATATAAAGAGACTCCCTCCGCAGCGTCCACGAAGAGTTTATCGCGTTGTCTTTAGGCATTTTAGTCTTCTGGCCAGCTGGAGAATTATTGATGGTTCAGTATTGGAGAGTGAAGACAAATCATGCAGAGTTAGCTTACCCTTTGGAGCCTCTGTCTGGCTCCAAAAAGAGTCCAAATTTTAGGTCTGATTTCGCCATGGAAGTGAGAGATAGAGATCAACCGCCAAATTTTCTTGGATGTAATATAGACCCTTGCAGAGACTCCCTCTGCAGAGATAAAGAGACTCCTTCTGCAGCTCGTCTATAAAGAGACTCCTTCTGCAGCTCGTTTATAGAGACTCCCACTTCAGTTCGTCAATATATACGCCCTCTGCAGATCGTCTATATAATCTTCTATATAAGCTCGTTTCTTTAGACATCCCTTAGCTTGTCTATAAACACTTTCTTCTGCTCGTCTATAAAGACTCCTTTCTCCTTATTTGTAAAATCTCCCTCCAGCTCGTCTTAAAAACTCCCTCCGTCTCGTTTATAGAGACTCCCTTTAGCTCATCAAAGCTCAAAGCCTCCATCAATATCATCTTATAAATTTTTATCTAGCCCGTCCATAACGACTCCCTTCAGCTTTTTCGTTAAGACCAGGGTCGAAGAACTTAAAAATCTATACCATCTGCTAACGAATGCATTTGCCGCAAAAGAATTTCAATCTCTGAACATACCAATTTGTTAACATTTAAGAAAAATTCACAGGTTCTGTTTATGAGACTAATTATTTAATTGCCTGATCGGCACTTTTGAAATTAATTCTTGGCACATTCTTGTATGCAAAGCAGTTGGGTTGATATTTTAGAAATCATAAATTAGATAATTTATTGTCAGTAGTCATTTCAATCTAATAGAGTAGCTTAGAATCTATTATTAAAATTTTTGAATTTTATAATTTTGAGATAACTTTCATAATCCCACAGGTCTTAATTATACACTGTGCGAAATTGGTTGACTATTTTCGGTATGCCTTTGTGAAATGTTTCATGTTAATGCTCAAATTTCATTGAGTTCTGTAACAAGTCATACGATGAATGTCTTCCCCAGCCCACACATTCGATGTATTCCCAAATTGTCAATTTACGTTCTCCTTGCCCTCACGTCTGATTTATTGCCAAAATATCCATATTCCCCAAGTGTTTTCAATATCCCTTCTCTAAATTAGGAAATGATGGAGCGTCATAATTTCCTTTTGTCATTGAATTTTCATTTGATTTTTGATTTTGGATTACTATTTTTTTTTTCCGGTGTATATGTTTGAAAATTCTATAAGATTCTTAGCATAAATACATTAATATGAATTTGCATAAATTAAAATTCATAGTTCTAAAAAGACTTTCGTAATATGTTTAAGAATATCCCATACTAAAAAACCATTCAGTATTCATTCCATCTCTGGAGAAACATCAACCGGTAACGGAATATCAATTTTTGAAAATAAAAAAAAATAAAAATGAAATTCTTGCAAGTTGCTTTGGTATTATTGGCCTTGTTTGCCACGCTTTTCACAGTTGAAGCCAGAAGGTAATAATAAACCCAAGACCCTTGAAGATAACACCTAACAAAATATTATTGTCTTTCCCAGATATCAATTTGTCACCGCCAAATGTGTGGAACATAATACCAACAATCAAATCGATGGACCTTTGAAAATCTGCACCTTCCCACCAAAGCACACACCGGTGCCCCAGGAAGAAATTAATGCCGTAATACAACACATACAAACACTGAAATTAGACTAATAAATATTAAACAAATCTTTTAATTAAAAGATTTTTTTCGTTTCAATTGTTTTATGGTCATAACAAACTGTTAACCCAGTTGCAGGATTTTTTTATTTATCTTCTTCCTCTTCTTTCACATCATTTCTTCACTCATCATTCCAATTATTATAATGACTTTAAGTTTTAAATTATTATTTTTACTCGTTCTAGTGGTTTTACAAAAAACAAAATTGCTAAACAAAATTATCGCTCGCTCTTCGCTTTTTATTTTCAATTAGAAGCTCTAGCAGCATATTGCTTCATTCTAGCCTCAATTTCTGGTCGGAAATGACGAATCAAACCTTGTACAGGCCATGCGGCACCATCACCCAAAGCACAGATGGTGTGTCCTTCAATTTGTTTGGAGATTTCCCATAACATATCGATTTCAGATGGATCAGCATTGCCGGAAACAAATCTAGGAAGAAAATAAAATAATAAAATTTTAAAACTTTTATAAAAAATAGACATTTTTTTTTGTCACTCGAATGGTCTTCTATAGATAGGCCATATTAAAGTATACTACCAAATTTAAAGGGACTTCTAAATAAAATGAAATACTTAAAGCTTCTCATATAGATAGAGGACCGTTCTATAAAGAGACGATCGTATAAACGGCTTGCAATAAACAAAAAACCGATACTAGGTTCTTTTATGGACAAAAAAATATTTGAAAAGCTTAATCGGGTATATATTCGTTTACAAGGACCTTTTAAACGGGTTTCTAGCTTAGTAAACAGTTCAATCGGCCTTCTATTTGTAGAAGAGCATTAGGAGAATCTTCAACATATTATTTTATAGACCTAAGATCATTCAAAAGGATCTTATATGATTCTGCAAAATACAATCATTCTGCAAATCATTACCAAAACTTAAATTTTACTTAAACTTGACCAAACCTCTCCCGACTCACCTATCCATAATTTTCTTCATCCAGCCAATACCCTCGCGACATGGTGTGCATTGTCCACAACTTTCGTGTTTGTAGAATGAAATCAGGCGGGCAATTGCCTTAATAACATCTGTGGATTTGTTCATCACAATAACAGCTGCTGTACCCAACGAAGTTTGAGCCGCAATTAAGCCGTCAAAGTCCATAATTACATCGGTGCACACATCTTTGGGAATAATGGGTGTGGACGAACCACCGGGAATGACACCCAATAAATTGTCCCAACCACCAATGACACCACCGCAGTGACGTTCAATAAGTTCCTTCAATGGTATGGACATTTCTTCTTCAACAGTGCATGGTCGATTGACATGACCGGAAATGTTAAAAAGCTTGGTGCCAGAATTACGGGTACGACCGAAACTGGCAAACCATGCACCGCCACGGCGACAAATTGTTGGAGCTACAGCAACTGTTTCGACATTGGTTACCGTTGTGGGACAACCGAAGACACCAACATCAGCAGGGAATGGAGGCTTTAGACGTGGCTTGCCCTGTTTACCCTCAAGGGATTCAATCAAGGCTGTTTCTTCGCCGCAAATGTAGGCGCCAGCACCACGGTGCATGAAGACATCAAAATCATAACCGGTACCGCAGGCATTCTTGCCAATCAAACCGGCTTGATAGGCTTCAGCAATGGCCAATTGCATGTTGGAGGCTTCATTGTAGAATTCACCACGAATATAAATATAGGCGGCCTGGGCACCCATGGCACGACCAGCAATCAAACAACCTTCCACCAACTTATGGGGATCGTGACGCATAATTTCACGATCTTTGCAAGTACCAGGTTCACCTGAAAACAAGAAAACCATACAAATAACCTCACTTTAGCAACAATGGAATATCCCAAAAGTAACCTACCTTCATCGGCATTTACAACCAAGTACTTGGGGCGACCATCAGAGGGCTTGTTCATGAAAGACCATTTCATGCCACTGGGGAAACCAGCACCACCACGGCCACGCAAACCGGAGGTCTTGATTTCGTTAATGATCCAGTCGGCTCCCTTCAGTACAATTTCCTTGGTCTTGTACCAATCACCACGCTTCAAGGCACCCTTTAATCTCCAGTCATGGCGACCATACAAATTTGTGAAAATGCGATCCTGATCGGCCAATCCACCAAACTTGGTCTTGGTCTGTGGTGGTGGAGTACCGGGTGGTGGGGCCTGTGTGCCCTGGAAACGGCGTTGCAATGCAGCCGGAACGGCGCATGCTGCAATTACAAGAATTTCACAACATTACATAAATAATAATAACCAGTGTAATTAAATACTATATGCATTAATTGGAAAAATAAGACGGAAAATGTTTGCTGCTTTTCATAATGTCGTCGACGTCGTTGTTGTTGTTCTTAGCGAGAGAAAAAAATTACATAATTTTCACTTATTCCCAAGAAGAAATTGTCGTTAAATGACACGAATAGCCATCAAAGGCCGTATATTTGAGGAGATGTTTTTCATGTTAACACCATGTTTCTTCCAAACTTATGGAATTTCTATTAAAATTCTTACCAATTTGCGATTTTTGTAAAATATTTACTCGCACAAGTGCTCCTGCCATCGTCTTGATAGAATGACACGGTTGCTCTACAGTGTAACGACGACAGTACGAAATTACCGCAGTGCTGTGAGACTAAACAAAATAACACTGGTGGTGTGTGTGTGTATGTTTCGTGTTATCAATTGGTATTGTTTAGAAGAAGAGGGAGTGTGCTTTATACTATGCGATTCGCTACTAAGAAAATAATATATATGGAATTTTTGGATGTTATACTATTATTCTATTCTTTTTATTTGTTATCCAAGGTTTTAATGTCAGCGTATTTCTGTAGACATTTAAATGTAATATAATTAAATATAAATTTATTTAAACTTCTTTTTAATATTAATTTACCTATTTTTGAAACATGGTATATTAAAATGATACAGCTGACTAATTATTTTTTTATGAATGTGCACGACTTTTGCAATTTACAAAAAACTATTAAAAACTTGAAATGAAAAATACATATTTTTTATTTATTTGTTTGTTATTTTGTTTTCTTTTCATATTTACATAGAAGGCTGATTGAGGCTTTGAAACACAACCCTTTACTTTTTGTCAAATTTTCTTGAATGAGAGCTTTATTTTATCACCGATTGGCTTCTACTGAAGAAAAACGAATTTTGTTAAACAAAAACAAAAGAAATATAGGAATAAAGGTAAGAATACTTAAGGTAGTACACATGGTAAAAGAATACAGGTAGTCGCATCGACACAGCTGCTGGGACAATCAACTGTCAAACAGATTTTGACTAGAAAATCTTGAATGAAAAAGTATTAAAATTTGTAAAAATTATTGAAAAATACATTTCATTACAACCTCCGATTTGCGTCGAATAAGAAAACATATAAAAATCTACTTATTTTTGACAAAACACATTAAAAATTTTGACATATCAATGTTCCCAAGCGTTGATGCATCTACGAATCGAACTAAGTCAACCTAAAACTTCTTTGTTCCTCTACGAAGATGCCAGACGATGAGTTAAGCCAGTGAATACATAAGGGTGGAAATGCATAAAGCGCATATTTGGCTGGTTTAAGTCATCGCCTGGGTTCTATGTAGATGAACAAAGAAGTTTTAGGTTGAACTAGTTCGATTTTGGCCCTAGGCTTCTTTGTTCTTTTCTGAAGAAGCCAGCCGATGACTTAAGCCAGCCGATGACTTAAGCCAGCCAGATAAGCGCTTTATGTATTCCCACCTTAAAACTCTTTTTTTACTGCCTTAAGTCATCGGCTGGCTTCTTCGTAAAGGAACAAAGGAGTTTTAGGTTGACTTAGTTCGATTTTGGACCTATGCTTTTATGTTATTTTCTGAAGAAGACAGTGGGGGTACATAGATGGCTTGAAGTCTTCGCATGACTTATTTTATGACATATCATAAAGGGATGTCAGAGCGGCAATCAAATCCTGCCGTCGTTTCCCATTAAAATTTGAAGTTAATATGCCTCGCCGTGATACCAAGCTGCTTATATACCCTCGCCTTAATTGTATGATTATTTTTGCAACTGTTTTGACACATATTTCAGGCAAACTTCGTTCTTTTTGTAACGTTCAGGGGCGTGTGTGAAACCGTAGATTGGTTTGACCATGGTGACAGGAGGCCTACCCTATCATTTTGTATCGGCTATGCTCAGTCGTCCACACACGGCTACGTACAAAAATATTTATGTATGTCACAAAGAAAATATCATCGATTATGTTTGTTGTTGTTGCAGACTCAAAATGTTGTTGTGGTGGGTACCCCTAGATGACAATGGGTACCCCTTATCCCTCCCATGGGTTCTGTAAGAACCCCCATGTGGGCTTCAAAATATTTGAAGACCCCCAAAACTTTCGCTGGCTGTACCTCTTTCCTGCTTACATATCCTTCTTAAATAAATTTACTGGAACATTATTAATTTTCTTTAAATTCAGTCAAACAATTCATATTTATTCTTAAGAACAATTTATACTTAAGGATAATCTTTAGATTTACTTAAATCTATTTACATCCGTAAGTAGAATCAAATACACTAACAAAGAAGTAGCAAAAATAAAGCACAATTTAATATTAGGATACATACAAAAATTATTAAGAGAATTTTTGTTTGTTAATCCCATTTCTTGTGCCAAAATGCACTAAATTTATACGCCGAATGATACCTAACACCTATTGAGCTCAATGGTTAAGGCTTAGCCCCTTTTGAATAATTTGGACTGTACCGCTTTTAAATAAAGGAAGTGGGATCAACAATTGACAAATTGAATAGAACAATTATAAAAAAAATATATAGATCTGTATGAATATATATAGGTATATATATTTATATATACATATATATACAAAATTTTAGGTATAAGGATTTATAAATTTAAATTGGCTTTACAAATTACCCTTAAAGGTAAAAGAAAAAGAGATAAAAAACTTAAACTATGATTTTTAAGAGTACGCCGTCTGCACTAACTACATCAGCTTATAAAGTTCCAAAATTGTTATGAATAAATTCATATTTGAATTTCAATTTAATTTAAAAAAAATATAGCCAAAAAGAAAGAAATCTGAAAAAAAATCAGAAAATTCTAGGCTGCTAATTTAATTCCAATAAGAATGTAGTGGAATAATTTCTCAATTGGAACACAAGGTTCCGTTACCAAAAACAATTTCACAAGGGCACTAAACACGTGGCGAAGAACCGTTACTTTTTGTAGTAGCCAAAATTTAACATTAAAATTTATATAAGTCAACATGTATATACGTACATATGTACAAACTTATATACATATGAGGAAGGTTTTTTTTTAAAAAAATCGTTAAAACACAAAACTAGGAACACTGGATGTATCCGGAAAGTTTCTAAAACAGCTCGGCTGACCGTCGAGGAACAGGTTGCAAAAAAAACACAGGGCCCACCCCTCCCGTCTGTGACTGAAGGAGGTGGGTAACCCAGGGATGATGATTGACTGCTTCAACTGTACCCGTGTGATTGCGTACTTACTCCGTTATTCTCCTTTAGGCATATAGGATTTTCGGCTTACCACAATTTGGGAATATGTTGATATGGTCAGATTTCGGTCTCCTTAACAGTCCTTATATTGGGTAGCACTGCCCTTTAAAGATAGAGTACAAATTGACACGCAAAAATGTCCAATAACCTAACCTTTGGTCTTAGGCGGCGTGGTTGGCGGTCTTTCTTGGAACAGTGTCCAAGCAAAAATTCAGATTCTGCCAAAAAATTGAAAGAAACACAAAAAATGTTGGCGTTAAATTCCCGCTCATGCTAGGGAATCTTCTTAAAATCTCACCTTTATTATTAATCAAAACGAATTTATTCGGCACACAAACACTACGTTATCCACAATGATGGGTAACTTCAAATTATAATTGGAGAGGAGAATACCGGCTCTGACTGGTGTTAAATTGAAATTAAACTTTTCTTTTCCTCTGATGGCTTTTAGTTGTGCTGCTTCAAAAAACTTTTCTGCAATAATGCAATTTTTAAAGTTGGCTGCAGTGCGCCATCGAATTGATAGGTTGCCATAGATCGACTAAAGTTGACACCTGATGTCAGGGCTACCAACGACTGCGCACAATGAGGACGTTTTTACGCCGTCGCTTGCGTCGTCGGGTTGTGGTAGGTTAACACAACAAACCCGAACAGTCTACGAAGACCAGTCGGAGTAACGCTGATTCGGGACGTTAACCTAACTTTAAAGATCGGGTGGGGAAGAACCGCGACCCTGATATCATAAAAAAACAACAACAAAAATACAACAGCGGGGTAACTACTTCAAAGGTACTATATGTTGGAGGTCTTTCGAGTGATATACCCCTATCTTACGTCCTTGTAGATCCTCTATTTCATAAAGTGAGGTCCCTACCTTTTTGACAACTCTACATTTGACAAATTTCCGACAGAGCTTTGAATTAAGATGGCGGGCAGCGTCACTTAATACAAAGTTGCGTCGAAGTATTTCCTGTCCGGGCTTGAAGTGAACTTCACGCGATCTTGTGTTATAACGTGCCGCTGACCTTTCGTAGGAATCGTGGAGTTTCTCTTTAATCGTGTTTCGGATTAAATCGTGTATACTGTGTTTGGGAATAATTTCGACCGATCCGTCTTCTAAAGTGCCTAGTTTACTCGCTAAGGTATACGCGCTACCGTGTGTGATCATGTGTGTTCCGAAAAGGGAAAAATACGGTGAACATCCTATGGATGTATGGATTGTGGATCGAAGTGAACACTCTATAGCTGATAAATATCGATCCCAATCCTTCTGATCTTCGGATACATAAGTTCGAATCGCCGCAATAATTGTTCGGTTGACTCTCTCCGATGCGTTCGCTTGCGGAGAATATACCGCGTTTCGGATCTGAGTACAGCCGTATCGGTCTAAAAATGAAGTGAATTCGGAAGAAATGAACTGTTTTCCGTTGTCCGAATGGACGGTTTGTGGTACTCCAAATTTGTGAAAAACTTCACTTTCCAAAAATCGAATGACGTTTCTCGAGTTTGCTTTCGCTAAAGGCTTCAAAAGAACGAACTTTGTTAAGTGATCTAATACGATAAAGACGTATGCGTTACCTAACTTAGACCTCGGGAAGGGTCCTATAAAATCAATGAAAATTTTTTGAAAAGGTCTATCAGTGACGGTCTCGTTTCCCATTTTCGGTCGTAACACCTTGTTTGGAGCTTTCGTCTCTTTACACAAAACACATGAGTTTATATAATCTCGAACTTGCTTCGCCATTCTCGGCCAATAAAAATATTGTCGAAGTGCAGCTATAGTTCTGCCAATACCACAGTGACTCTTTACTATTGACTTGTGAGCATTTTCTATAAGTGATTCGGTCAATTCGGATGGAACCCAAAGTTTCCATATAAAATTCTCATGTATCGGTGTGCCATCAGACGGAAGTGTCTTTTTATAAACAAATGAATCTAAAATTTTTAAATCCGGAAGACTGTCTTGGTTCTCACGCACCATTTCAACTAATTGTATATATTCTTCATTCTTGAATTCGGGCGAGTTTAAATCAATCAAAGGCTTTTCATCAGTGAACATGTTGATTTCATCCATGTGTATGCGGGATAAAGTGTCCGCAACTACATTTTGCGACCCCTTACGGTGCTGAATATCGAAATTAAAAGCCTGTAGTTTTAAACTCCACCTCGCTAAACGACCACTGAGATCTTTCTGTCCCATCAGCCATTTCAACGCACTATGATCAGTAACAACAGTAAACGGCATCATCTCAATATATGGACGGAATTTCTTTATTGCACTGATCACGGCTAAGCACTCTCGCTCAGTGACACTATAGTTCCTTTCGGCCTTCGTCAACTGGGCAGAATGAAAGGCGATGGGACGTTCCAAACCTTCAGCGTCTAGCTGGAACAACACTGCGCCTAACCCTAAATTGGAGGCGTCACACTGGACATAAAATCTTTTGTCGAAAACTGGATGATTCAATACGGGACTTGTGGTTAGAGCTACTTTTAATTTGTTAAAAGCCTCGATTGCATTTTGATCGAAAGAGAAAACTTTGCCCTTCTTCAAGGTGCTGGTTAAAGCAGCTGTAATCTCAGCATAATCTTTAATAAATCGCCTGAACCAAGAGGCCATCCCTAGAAACCTACGTACGTCTCTAGTGGACTTCGGAATCGGAATATCAGTAATTGAGTTAATTTTGGAAGGATCTGGTTTTAATTTACCTTCGCCAACAATATACCCCAAATATTTAAGTTCTCTGCGGCAAAATTTCGACTTCTTCAGATTGATGGTCAGGTTCGCTCTGGACAACATTTCACCTACCTTACGAAGCAGCTCGACATGTGAATCAAAGTCTGGAGAGACTACTAGCAAGTCGTCGAGGTATACGAAAACTTTGTTCTTCAGTTCCGGTGAGATCACTCTATCCATTAACCGACATAACCGTTGGGCTGCATTGCATAACCCAAACGGCATGACAGTGAATTGATAGTGTGGTCTCCCCGGCACTGTGAACGCAGTCTTCGGACGGCTTTCTATTGCCAGAGGAACCTGCCAGAATGCATCCTTCAGATCGATGCTCGATATGAAGTACGTGTCTTGCAGTCGGCCTAACAAAGCATCAATAAATGGCAGCGGATATGCATCTTTCACCGTGACTTCATTCAACTTACGGGCGTCTAAACATAGTCGATTTTTTTCCCCTCTACGCACTAAGGTGACTGGAGAATTCCATGGGCTTGTACTTGGTTCAATAACACCTAGACTCAACATGCGATCAAGTTCCTGATATATAAGATTTTCGACAGCTGGAGAAACTGGATAGTGTCGCTGCTTTATTGGGACAGCATCCCCTGTATCAATCACGTGCTCTTCCAGATTTGTCTTTCCGAGACCATGCTTATCGGAATCAAGGAAACTTTCTTTAGCTTTCTCAAGTAAAGCTAATTCATCATCGGATAAGATATGCATATCAGAATCTACTTCTTTAGAACTGATCTCTAAGCTGCTAATAAGTTTTGGTGCTACACTGAATTCTTTCCAAAAATCTATACCACAATACATTGAATTCTCTAAGCCAGGTACAAGATAAACCTCCATGGTTTTCGTCTTACCATCGTACGAGAGCTCAACACTAACTTTTCCACAACAAGAAACTCGTTGACCATTCGCTGTACCAACGCTACACTTATATACAGGATTAATATTCAATTTTAATTCATCAATCAACGAAAAACAATTTTTGCCTAAGCAAGTTACCGTGGCTCCACTGTCAAAAAGAGCTAACACTGCTATGCCATTAACAAGAACTTCTCGAAAAGGTCGGGGATCATTTGATTTATTTTCGGAAAATGTGGCAGAAGAAATCGATAGTCTTTTGAAACGTCTAAGCCTATATCGTTCACGTGCCTTCAAGATACGTTTGGAAACACAAACACCAGTATTTACAGAAATTTCGCAATTAAATATTCGTTCTCGGATCTTTAAATATTTTGCCATGCGTACGTGAAATGGTAACGTCAAATCAGGTTTGGATCTAATCAGAGGTTCAGATTGTTTTGGAGTTACTAAATTGTCAACAATAGGTGGATTTTCGGGAATATGGTCTGAATCTAGTCAGTCCACGGTCTGTGTAGAAACTGATTCAGATTTAATAGGATTGGATGGACGAGTACTCTTCTTGCAATTATTGCACTGAGGAGCTGTTATTCCTGGTGAACCGCATTTAAAACAAAACAAAGATCGTTGTGAACTGGTACATTGTTTGAAAACATGACCGTTGTCACCACAGTTCCAACAACGAGAAGTTTCAGTTTTGGGGAAACTAGTTACCTTCGGTCGCAGCTTCAACTCATCAACTTCCTTAGTGATTTCTTTATAATCGGAATCGAAAATTTCATTAACCATGCGAGATGGTGCGTTCGTCCTAACCCTAGCAACTGACTCCCTGTCTAGAAACTCTTCAGCCTTCCTACATTCATTGCGGAGCTGTTCCACAGAATAAATATCAGCACTAAACAACAGATGAGCAATTCTGGGTTTTAATCCTGCCTTTATAATATCGATAACCTCATAGTCTTGGAGTGATTGCCTTAATTGGGTGCGCAAAATAGTGATGGCGTCTATATACTGAGTCACAGTTTCATCGCGACCTTGTTTCCTATCCATCATCTGCCTCAACACATCCAAGTTTGATTGGTATCGCTGAAATTCACGGGTCATATTCAATTTTAAATTTTTCCAGTTCATGTCTGGATATTGCCGAGTTTGAGCCCAGTACCACTGGTTAGCACGGCCTTCTAACAACAAATGAAAACCTTCTAATAATTCTCGCTCTGAAAATCCATAACTCTTCCACAGTCTCTCAACTCTGAATAAAAAATCCTCAATCTGTGGAGTTTTTGTAGTACCGTCAAATTTTACGCCCCATTTGCTGATGTATGGGTATTTGGGTCTACTAAAACAATTCCTATTATCAACATTAATAGAATCATCATTTGGAATATTCGAAACGGTTGGTGCATTAGTATGAACAGGTGCAGTAGGCATTGATGGTAATTCATGCGGCCAATCAACGCTCTGGGCTGCAGGATTGGATGAAGGACCTGCATGTGGACTCGATGTTTGCGAAAGGGCGGTCTTAACAGCTATGGATACAGCTTTCTGCATCTCCTTCCTCATCAGTTCAAGCATCGATGCTTGTGTCGCTTCCAGTGCCGACTCAACTACCTCAACAATTCCTGTACTATTAATTCTCTCAACCTGCTCACCACTGTTACCAAGCATAGTCAGGGGACTAAACGATGGCGTAGTGATCGTACTACCATCTTCAGTTACCTTATTTGGATTTGGCGAATCTTCAACATCACTAGATACTGTTCGATTATTTGCTTCTACACTGGCAGTATTACCAGAGGGTACCTCATCTTGCGTTTGGATTACCTGACCTGTTCGGCTATTCGACCTGGTACTAATACCATAATTTTTGGCTTTGCTCCAGTGCCTTGGTGCATGATGTCCAATCAAAAACAAAACGAATAAAAATTTTGAAAATCTAAACTATGTAATAAATTACTTAATCCGAAAAATAGAATTTGAATAAAACTCAAAAAAAAATGGAAAAAAAATTTTGCAACAGTGTCTATATTCAATCCAAGAACCAATAGATGTGTTACTGTTAATCCGTAACAAAAGCTTATAATAAAAAAAAAACAAAATTATAGTCAAAACTGATTACCGATTCACAAAAATCGAAAGATCTCAAATAAATTCAAAATCACAAACAAATCAAAACTTGAAAATCAAATATGATCAAAATGTTTCATAAACATTTGGTTTCTTTTCTTCTTCAGAAAATCAGATCATACAAATTCAAAAGGATATTATAAACAGTTTTGGTATCTGCCATATAAATCAACAACAACAATAAAATGAGTATATAACTATGATTAGTTATTTGCAACGCAATAATTTTCTTTTCAGAAAAAGGGAAAAAAAAATAAGTGAATATCTTCAATATGTCATAAAATCACAAGCCAAATAAAATATCGCAAATTGTCTTTGACCATAAATGTCAATGACTAATGACCATATATCTTCTATGACTTGTATTTAAATATACGATTTTGATATAATATTTTATCGCAAATTGGATATTATCATAAATACAATACTCCAATGACATATAAAATACCTTTCTATAAGGTGAAATTCTAGAAAATCATTATAATTAATTATGTTGAATCACTATTGACTGTCGTCATCTAACAACAACTCAAGACAGATTCAAAGAAATCAATACAAATCAAAAAAAAAAAAAAAACAAAATATGATACACCAGGATTAAACCTGGCCCCACGTTGGGCGCCATTTTGTAACGTTCAGGGGCGTGTGTGAAACCGTAGATTGGTTTGACCATGGTGACAGGAGGCCTACCCTATCATTTTGTATCGGCTATGCTCAGTCGTCCACACACGGCTACGTACAAAAATATTTATGTATGTCACAAAGAAAATATCATCGATTATGTTTGTTGTTGTTGCAGACTCAAAATGTTGTTGTGGTGGGTACCCCTAGATGACAATGGGTACCCCTTATCCCTCCCATGGGTTCTGTAAGAACCCCCATGTGGGCTTCAAAATATTTGAAGACCCCCAAAACTTTCGCTGGCTGTACCTCTTTCCTGCTTACATATCCTTCTTAAATAAATTTACTGGAACATTATTAATTTTCTTTAAATTCAGTCAAACAATTCATATTTATTCTTAAGAACAATTTATACTTAAGGATAATCTTTAGATTTACTTAAATCTATTTACATCCGTAAGTAGAATCAAATACACTAACAAAGAAGTAGCAAAAATAAAGCACAATTTAATATTAGGATACATACAAAAATTATTAAGAGAATTTTTGTTTGTTAATCCCATTTCTTGTGCCAAAATGCACTAAATTTATACGCCGAATGATACCTAACACCTATTGAGCTCAATGGTTAAGGCTTAGCCCCTTTTGAATAATTTGGACTGTACCGCTTTTAAATAAAGGAAGTGGGATCAACAATTGACAAATTGAATAGAACAATTATAAAAAAAATATATAGATCTGTATGAATATATATAGGTATATATATTTATATATACATATATATACAAAATTTTAGGTATAAGGATTTATAAATTTAAATTGGCTTTACAAATTACCCTTAAAGGTAAAAGAAAAAGAGATAAAAAACTTAAACTATGATTTTTAAGAGTACGCCGTCTGCACTAACTACATCAGCTTATAAAGTTCCAAAATTGTTATGAATAAATTCATATTTGAATTTCAATTTAATTTAAAAAAAATATAGCCAAAAAGAAAGAAATCTGAAAAAAAATCAGAAAATTCTAGGCTGCTAATTTAATTCCAATAAGAATGTAGTGGAATAATTTCTCAATTGGAACACAAGGTTCCGTTACCAAAAACAATTTCACAAGGGCACTAAACACGTGGCGAAGAACCGTTACTTTTTGTAGTAGCCAAAATTTAACATTAAAATTTATATAAGTCAACATGTATATACGTACATATGTACAAACTTATATACATATGAGGAAGGTTTTTTTTTAAAAAAAATCGTTAAAACACAAAACTAGGAACACTGGATGTATCCGGAAAGTTTCTAAAACAGCTCGGCTGACCGTCGAGGAACAGGTTGCAAAAAAAACACAGGGCCCACCCCTCCCGTCTGTGACTGAAGGAGGTGGGTAACCCAGGGATGATGATTGACTGCTTCAACTGTACCCGTGTGATTGCGTACTTACTCCGTTATTCTCCTTTAGGCATATAGGATTTTCGGCTTACCACAATTTGGGAATATGTTGATATGGTCAGATTTCGGTCTCCTTAACAGTCCTTATATTGGGTAGCACTGCCCTTTAAAGATAGAGTACAAATTGACACGCAAAAATGTCCAATAACCTAACCTTTGGTCTTAGGCGGCGTGGTTGGCGGTCTTTCTTGGAACAGTGTCCAAGCAAAAATTCAGATTCTGCCAAAAAATTGAAAGAAACACAAAAAATGTTGGCGTTAAATTCCCGCTCATGCTAGGGAATCTTCTTAAAATCTCACCTTTATTATTAATCAAAACGAATTTATTCGGCACACAAACACTACGTTATCCACAATGATGGGTAACTTCAAATTATAATTGGAGAGGAGAATACCGGCTCTGACTGGTGTTAAATTGAAATTAAACTTTTCTTTTCCTCTGATGGCTTTTAGTTGTGCTGCTTCAAAAAACTTTTCTGCAATAATGCAATTTTTAAAGTTGGCTGCAGTGCGCCATCGAATTGATAGGTTGCCATAGATCGACTAAAGTTGACACCTGATGTCAGGGCTACCAACGACTGCGCACAATGAGGACGTTTTTACGCCGTCGCTTGCGTCGTCGGGTTGTGGTAGGTTAACACAACATTTTGACAATTAATATTTCCCGTTTTTTTAGAAATGCAACAGAGAAACATTTGCATAAATCTGGTTTAATATAATGCCTCATTTATATTGTCAATTTCCATGAATACAACTGTACTTTAAATTATCTATGAACCCCTTTGAAAAGACAACTCGCCCGCTTCTGCCATCCAAATACTAATAACGGCGCTGCACTAATTGCAAATGAGTTTCATTTAATGCAGAAAATCTGCTTTATTTGTTTCATTGTTGCTTTGAAGTTGATCTAGTTCATTACATAAACAAAACCAGTTATCCTGCAAGTGATTATTACTTCATCAATGCTAATGTAGCTGTTTTCGATAAACTGAAATTGGCGCTTTTTTAAAAACACAAAAGCATTAACCCCGAAAGCGAAAAGAGAGGATGAGACAACAGAGGAGGGAGACAACTACATCGTCTGTCTGTTTTGTTAAATAATGGGCAGAATGTACTCAAAAGTTGACAGTTATTTAGGGGGAAAATACATAAAGCTCATATTTGGCTGGCTTGAGTCATCGGCTGGCTTCGTAGATGAACAAAGGAGTTTTAGGTTGACTTAGTTCGATTTTGGCCCTAGGATCCTTTGTTCATTTCCGAAGAAGTCAGCCGATGACTTTAGCCAGCCGGATAAGCGCTTTATGTATTCCCACCTTAAGTCCGAGGCAAGAAACAATCTACTTCCGTTTAATACATATTTAAGGCCAAAACACAATAAATGCTTGGATTCGATTTCTAGCGTCCAATGAAAAACTCTAATGCCGTTTTTTCAAAAAAAAAAAATTAGTAAAAATTTAGGATGTGTTCCAGAACCTGCTATTTGACACAACAAGTCTCCAGTACAGAATGGCATTTTCACAGTTTCGTTGAAGTTGATCAACATTTCTGAATGGCCCATATTTAAACAGATATGTAGATCCGAGCCAGAATCATAAAGGTGGAAGAATATAAAAAGCTTTTTTTGACTGTCTTCTTCGTAGAGGAGCAAAGAAGTTTTAGGTTGACTTAGTTCGATTTCGACCCTAGGCTCCTTTGTTATTTTCCGAAGAAGCCAATCGATGACTTAAGCCAGTCAGAAAATCTTTCTATGTATTCTCACCTTAAGAAAATTATATTATTCAAAAACTTATCAAGAATCGGGGAACCCTTTTCAGTCTTACGTAAACCGGTAAATATCATAATTCTAAATTTCCCACTCACCAAAAATCGCTTCATTGACATATAACGTAAACACAAAGCGTCTTTTTGTCTGAGGATTTTCTGTGTTCTGCAACAATATGCTGCCTGTACGGATGAATAGATGGTGGCAGTGTACTTTGTTTTGGGGGATATTGTGATGCACCTTGCAGGGTTTATTGTTTGTCTAACAAAAGCAACCGTAAAATCATCATACACAAAAGGAAAGCAAAGCATAGCACACAAAGCAAAGGAAAAACAACAGCAACAACAGCAACATCACAATGGAATAATAAGAACAGGGTAAAAGCGCCAACCTGCCAGCCAGCCAACTCTGTCTGTAATGTACAAAAACAACTCTTGTAAATCATTCGCTTGGATGGATGCATAAATGTGTTTGTGTGTACGACATGTAAGTAGGTTTGTAAATCTCCGAACAAAACAGCTAAAACATATTTATACATACATACTAATGGTATTATTTGAAATTGCAGTTCATTGAAATGTAACGTTGAGAATGGAAGTTACCTATGTAGTAACATTTAAGGTGAGAATACATAAATGGCTTTTTTGACTGGCTTAAAGGTGGGAATACATAAGCAGCTCGGCATCATGGCAGGGCATATTAATGTCGATTAATGTAGTTAAATTTCAAAACGTTTCATATGACATCATCTCATTGTCAAAATGTATATTGTTGGATGGGTAATTGTTTTCTATGCAGTGAAATTTAAAAAGGTAAATTATAGGAAATGTAGAGATAGATATGTTTATTTGAAATGACTTTACCATCTTAATTCTACCATGTAAATATGGGTTGCCACCATACGATTTTTCGTCTATTTGTAGCGTTTACAAAATACAATACGACAAAGTTCATGTAT